ATGAGACAGAACATAGGATAAATGGTAACATTTTCAAACATTTTTAAATACAGAGTCAGACACTAATTAACATTTTACTAATTTGACAAATAAAACAATAAAATTACAGATATTGCTAGATGGATGAAGAGAAGCAACTACGGTGCATAGCAGTGTACTGTTAACATCAAGTGCATTTAACATGAAGTGAAGACATTGGCAATAAGGCTATTCAAACCAAATGCAATTTTGAAGTTGTATTTCTTTATTCAATATCAAAACAACAGTGCAATGAGCAGTGTGCCCTCTTGTGGGAATATTGAGTCAAAATTGAATCCCCAAAATCAAGTTGAGTCAGCTTGTTGACTGTTTGGGAGGTCAGTCTTCAAAAAAAAAAAAAAATACGAGTGACTTGAGGAACAAACAAAAATGTTGTGACCCCTAATTTTCTTAGTTTTTACACTTATTTTGTTTATTTCATTTTACCAAATTACAAATTCCATAACTATTGTAAGATGTTTTTCAAGATGATTGTATCCATATATGATTTTCTCTTGCATCAGTGAATAATCACAACTAGTTGCATCACAGCAAATTGTGGCGCATCATATCAGCTTAGAGGGCACACTGGGGATGAGTTGTACAACATTAAATGAGCTACTGGGAAAAGTAGGAGACTGCATTACATCAGGTATGCATGAAACTACTAGCTCTGTAGATAGAATAAATGTTGCATCACAGCAAATCACTACACATCAGTGGCGCATCATATCAGCTAAGAGGGCACACTGGGGATGAGTTGTACAACATTAAATGAGCTACTGGGAAAAGTAGGAGACTGCATTACATCAGGTATGCATGAAACTACCAGCTCTGTAGATAGAATAAATGTTGCATCACAGCAAATCACTGCACATCAGTGGCGCATCATATCAGCTTGGAAGGCACACTGGGAATGAATTGTACAACATTGAAGTAGCACATTGCATGATAGAATACATGTTGCATCACATAAAATCCATGCGCATCAGTATACTTGGCTGAAATGTGCACGATTAGTAAGAATTAATACAAGACAGAAATTCAACTGGATAAAGATTCCATTATTAGGTATTTTTGTAAGGATTTGAATATTTTAATGATAAGTTGCTGGTGGGAATTTGGTAGAAAAATTGATTGCCAGGCCTGTTGTTTACAATATACAAGTCTGTGATAAAAAACAGAAAAATGTAAGTGCTAGGCTAACAGTTGGAGAAAATTTGATTAGTAAACCATTTGGAGAATTTGCATGCACAATTTGTAGGATGTTGGTGGAATTCAAATAGCAGGTTAATGCAAATATGATAGGTAGCTCACTAGTGAAAATCGAAATGGAAGGTCATTGATTAGTAAATCACTGACGGAAGTTTGATTAGTAAGTCATTGATGGAAGTTTGATTAGTAGGACATTGATGGAAGTTTGATTAGTGGGTCATTGATGGAAGTTCGACCAGGTCATTGACGGACATTTGATTAATAGGTCATTAGTGAAAATTTGATTAGTAGGTCACTGATGGAAATTTGATTAGTAGTTCATTGACGTAAGTTTGATTAGTAGGACATTGATGGGAGTTTGATTAGTAGGTCATTGATGGAAGTTTGATTAGTAGGTCATTGATGGAAGTTTGATTAGTAGGTCATTGACAGAAGTTTGATTAGTAGGTCATTGACAGAAATTAGATTAGTAGGTCATT